ACAATTTATTATTTGGATAGTCAATTTTGTAACTGATCTTGAACGTAGCGCTCATCATGCTTTCCCTCTGTTCTAGTCAACATGGACTGAGTTTGGGAGGAAGGGCAATGACACGAATGCTTCTTGCTATCGGTCTAGACCTTCCAAACATACAAAACATTTGATATGGATAGAGTTTAGTTCGTTTTGTGATGTGGGACAATGACACGAACGCCTTGCTATTGGGTCTGGACTCACTGAGCATACGATACAGTGGAAACAGATGAGTACTCTACCTCAAGTACTGTTCAAGTATTGCTTGCAATACAAAGTTTACATATGGGCAGGTCTTTGACTAGGAACAGTACAACTGTGAATCGTCACGGCTCTTAACTACTGTATTTTCCTTCTGGCACATTGGCCTTTGCACTTCTGCAAATTTTGTCATGACTGTACATTGTTTCTCTCTTTCCAGAACCAAACGTGAAACCCTTGGCAGCAGTTCTTCTTGAGAATCTCTGCCATCATATCCCAGTGTGATTGTAGCTGTTACTTGACGGGAGGAAAATTTGGAACGCCACTGAAGTCAGGTTGAAGCATCCAACATACAAGAATGAACGTTGTATTATCTTAACTTTAATGGTAATGTTTTTCATTATAGATTTTAAAGCATGACAATCGTCTTTAGTGTTCATTCTTTCTGCACAGAGTTTGATCAACTGCATTCCCTTCATTGGTGTGCATTGATCAGACTGTCGTTTTCACAAAATAATGTTGTTATAATTTTTTTCTCAGGTTTGAGACTAGAGCCACCTGTTATTTGCTCTATATGGAATTGTCAGTGTTTGTACCAAATATGGAACACCTCTGTGTGTGTAGAAAACTGACATTAAAGCACAAGATCAGTTGATTTTGTGGATATCTACTGCGTACGCTCACCACTGCTTCAACACCAGCACCAGCGTTTCACCTCACTGCTCCACTGTTCTGCTCAACTTCGACCACTGTGTACGTAAATATCTTTAGCAGCCTGTAACCTGTACTTTTTCTTTAAACGTTTGGCACCTCCATGTCCGTTTATCTTTTAATGTTCAGGCAGGAGGCAGGCACAACTGCATTAATATTTGCTGCTTGGTCTCTGTTGCTTGTGATTCCTCATTCTAATTTTTATTTGTGTATTCTTTTCTCTTAGAAGCCGCATTGAACATGAGCTGCTGGTCTAGTCCTCAAATCTCACCCCTTGTGTACACACACATATGATGCACCAGCAGTACCAGTATGGAATTCTACCCACATCACTTGCCAATGTAAGAATGCATTGTAATGCACATTTATATCAGTCATATTCTATTAGTACTACTTCGTTTCCATTTATTTTCTCAGATTTTATTTGTAACAGCAAAGTTATTGTATTGATTTTAGTTAAGAGCGTTTCAGTTTTCATTGACTTTTATTCTTATGAAACTAATTCTATGTCATATTTTAGGTGAGGAGAGGTCTGTTGCCCTTCGTCATGAAACAGTTGACAGCCACAACCAGTCACCTCTATCTACAGTTGCCAGCATCCAACTCATCATGCTTCCATGTGAGTAATTCCCATTTGTGTGCCACTTAGATTAAATGGGTTGCTTTAAAGTTGACATTTTCCCTATTTAATCAACTTTGTGAACTTATAATTTTTGTTCATGTTTTAGGTGAGGAGAGGTCTTCTGTCTGCTTTCTCCGCCAAACAGCCCGTCACCTCTGTCTACATTGAGGGATCCAACTCGCTCACTTTCCTATGTGAGCAATTTCTGTTTGTGTGCCTCACTTTAAATGTGCATCAAGTTAGTTCGCAATATTTATTATTTGAGCATGGCACTAGATATTATATATCCGTTGTGCAACTATGGCCTTGAATTGAGTGCTCAACATGTTTTCCCTCTGCTGTAGTCGACATGGTTTGAGTTTGAGGCAGGGCAAAGGCACGAACGCTCCTTAGCTATCGGTCTTGACCTTCTAAAAACAGAACAGTTGACATGGACAGAGTTTAGTTTGTTCTGTGACGTGTGGGACAATGACACGAACGCCTTTGCTATCGGTCTAGACCCACCCCCCAGCAAACGACTTGGTGGGAACTGATGAGCTTTATTTCAAGTAATAAATCAGTACTGTTTTTATTTTGCCATAACTCTTAATCAACAAGTGGTAATCTTGGTCCAAAGAGGTGTACATTCTGAACTAGACAACTGTTATCGATGTTGAGTTTGTGAAGCATTGACCAGCTCTAATCATTTGCAATTGTACGAGTTAGGGGAGGAATGCCATCTCTTAGCTTTCGTACAGGAGCATTTGTATTGGTGTTGTGTCTCTGTTTTGCGAAGAATTGTTGACACATTACTAATGTTTGGGAGTTAGGGGAGGCATTACATCTCTTGGCTTTCATACAGCAGTATGTGTTTTCAGTTCTTTGTCTTATTCGAAGGGGGGTGTGTGCATTGTGAACTAGACAACTGTTATCAATGTTTATTTTGTGAAGCATTGACTCAAACATTTGCAATTGTACGAGTTAGGGGAGGAATGCCATCTCTTAGCTTTTGTACAAGAGCTGATGTTCTGTCCTTGTTTTGCAAATTATTGTTGACAAATTTACTATTGTTTGGGAGTTGAGAGGAATTCTTTCTCTTATCTTTCATACAACAGTATGTGTATTCATCAGTTCAGTTTTCAAAGTCATTCTTCAACTGCTGGTGTTGGGAAGCACGTGATGCCTCTTGCGTGCCTCTGCTCAATACTTGAAGTTCAAATTTGTCAAATTTGATACAGCCGGGTTCTACATTTTGTCCAGTGACCCCAGAGCTTTGCTGTAATTAGCAGGATAGATCAGAAAATACCTTTTTGTTTTTGCTGATATCAATATTAGTGCAGGCTGTGCACTTTACTAAGATGTGTAGGACTTTCTTTAACAAGTTCAATTTCTACACTAAATACTTAACAGAGTAATAACATTTACATGTACTGAAAACATTTTAATTCTTCTTTTATTTTTCAGAATTCGGAGAGGAAAATTTTGCGTCTTTACAGGGCACTCTCAGCCACAACAAGCATTCCACATTAGTTTTGAATACTCTCATTTTCTTGATTTTTTTTATGAGGTGGTTGTGTTTATCTACTAGACATTTTATGGAAGAAAGGTCTTTAAGATTTGTTCACATGGCGTTTTGAAGGTAAGGACAAAATAGTAAACACAGTTCAGGTCAACAAAATGTTATTACTCTTGATTTCTCTTGTCTATAATTCTTTCCTTCCTTTCAGGTCTGGTTTTCACCAAAGATGAACTCCTACTGGTCGCAGCCTATTATCATTTCATTCTCGATCTAGTTCCCAACTCATGAATACTGAGTTTCCAATTGGTACTCAAATTTTTGGTATGTACCAATATTTACCACCAAAAGTTCGTTATGGTCTTGAAAGAGCCATTCATTAAGACAATTTTCCTATTTTGACCTAACATAATATATTTTCAAAATACTATGGTTAAATTAGGCCAATTTTTCCCTTTTATCAAACTATTTGTGTTTTGCGTCATGTAGCATCTGCTCATCTCAAAATGTGACAGTTTGGCACATGCCGAGTAGCTTCCTGGGGGTGGCATCGTATGAAACCATAGGTTTTGCCTGTGTGTGAAGTACCTTGCAGTACCTTGGTGTACCCAGCTGAAATTGATGATCATTGTCATGCAGTTTATGCGCTGTAAAGTAGATGACATCAAACATTAGGAAAAGATGGGCTGTAATCTGATCTTTGTTTTTCAACTTTTCTTCTGTTACCTATGCTGTAAGCTGTTTTTTTTTTTAAATGTGATCAATTCACCTTCAGACCTGGGCAACAGTTTCATTTTTTTTCAAGAGTAAATTGTTCAAGCTGATTTAGCACATACAAAGCGCATGCAGTGTAATGGGTTTTCTAACGAGTTCTATTTTTGTTTCTCCTGTGCAGCTCTTTGAGGTGTTCATTTATTAAAAGCAGTCTAACAAGTAGGACAGCGCAGCACATTTCCTTGGTCAGTCCAGATCTTATCGTCCAACTTTCACATATGACCATGTGAGTATTGTGCATTGCTATGCATTTCTTTCAGTTTGATTGTTTTTAATTCATTTATCACATGGCCAGAAAATCTGATCGTTGCAGACATTAACTTTCCTAAACGTTCAAATCAGGGAAACTTCATGCCATTTAAGTTCATGACTCAATGAATTATTGTTCAAGTATAATGAAGTAGCTTCACTGGTGGCGCAGGGTGGGGAGTTTCACATTTTAATGGAAGGTTTTTACTGTTCCGTGTTCAACCTGAAAGTACCTTTAACAAGTGCTTCTCAAACTCACTCTGCGTTTAATTTCAAAGTCAAACGTTTGATGTCCCATTCTTAATAAGGCATATTCAGTTCAACGCTTAGTGTTTGCTAGAAGCTAGAATTCTCGATGGTGCTTTACAATGTGTTGAGCGCTTCCCTCATTGGGTCTGTTTAGTTAATCCGTGCGTGTGCATGCATGCATGCATTGATTACTTTAGGCTCAATTTTTAGCTTAACTTGGGTGTTTTGATGTCGGAAACATGAGTGGCAAATATTTACATTTGTAGGAATCAACATGGGTATAATATGGGCGAATTAGAAGAGTTGATACTAGTTAGCACACACGCGAGCTCTATATGGAAAATAGAGCAAATGAATGCATGCATGCATCCGCACGGATTAACTACAGACCAATTGTGCCCTGACTTTGACCGACATTGGTCAGGTGAGTGCCAGACCGGCCTTGCTACGCGTACCCGCCATGCCCGCGAAGCCTTCCGCGTTTTTCGTCCACGCGCGAGAGGCTAGCCCGGAGCCGCCCGGAGCCGCAGTTCCCGCCACCGCTCTCGCCGTCTCCATCGGTGATGTGTACCCCCGGTCCGCTTCCCAACGTCGGCCTCTGCGACGTCCTAGAGGAGCGTGTAGCCCCCTTAACTGCCGATGCCGAGCCACCTCTGCTCCGGCCCAGCCGGCTGTATCAGTAGACCATATGTGCGTGTTAAAGCCTGAATTTCAAAATAAAGTATCAGGCTAAGTGGCGAGGCAGTGTGCCTGCGCTTGAGTTTGCATTCAGTGCTGTTAAAACTGACAGTAAATCGTCGCATTGTGTCGTTGCGCAGCTCTGCCGCTCTGTCCAGCCCTATGATTCGGTCGGCGTGCGCGCTTCTGAAAAGTTGTGCGATAGACGACGCGCAGCCATTTGGCGTTTCTATCCACCTCGACGGCTCTCGCGCCGTATCGCGCCGCTGCCGCTGCCCTCGCTCGAGCCACGCTCACGGCTCGCGCCTAGCATCCTCGCGTTTCCCGCCCCGCTCCTTGGTAGTAAGGGTTGTCCACTCTCGAGGTCAAAGTGACGGATTATAGAGAGGCTGTAAATGATTAGGGACATAGTAAAACGAAGCGGTTTGAAAAAAAAGGCCATAGCAGTCATTCAATGTATTTGGGCGGTGGGGCTCTCGCGTTCCTCGCTTGGCTGCTGCCGCTGTACCGTGTGTCCGTCCGGGAGAATACGCGCCAGCTCGATGGGTTGCCTACGTGCTGGCGCGGAGGGCGCGGCAGAGGTGGCTGCAGGCAACCTGAGGACACCGGCAACGGCCGCCTCGCCTACCGCCCTCGCCACTTCCCCTCGCCCTGCTCGCCAGTGCGTAGGCAACCCATCGAGCTGGCGCGTATTCTCCCTGACACCCGGTAGTGCTGTGTTCAGACTGGCGCGATGGTGGCGCTGTGAGTGATACTACGCAGCTGCTGCTGCCCTGCTCAGCCCTAAGCTTCAGACGTCGTTACGACCCCATTACACATGCACCAAACACACGACACACCGCGTCCACGCCACGAGCCTCGCACCTCGGCCTTCGCGACGACGAGCCCAACACCACGACCACGGGTGCCTTATGTGCACAGGGCCCCAGGGCCAGGGCCCCGCGCTTAACCCGAGTCTTGCGTGAGCGCTGGGAGTACAAGCTCTGCGCTATATGTACAGGACATCCTCGCGCCATTGTTTTTCAGTCTTTAAATTATTTGTTTTTCTAATTTATAATATTAAGTAACGTTTGAAATTTTAGTTTCGTGGGCCGTTGCCCATTCAGCGCCTGCTAGGTAGGCAACATCTCTTCAGTGCATGCGCGTACTGCGTGGTGGCCTACCCTGAGTCTCGCAGGCGCCTAGGTCACTTAGCAGGTATTTCTGAGGAAATTCGGACGTGCTTTCTGGACGATCCCTTATTTAGGGATGGTGATGCGGCTGTCTGCACCCCCTGGCGTACCTGCTGAGGTGATCGGTCTCGGGGTGACAGTGCCGGGCAGGGAGATGCGTTGGGCAGGGCGCGGCCGTAGCGGGCTTGGGAGGAAGGGTTGCGGGTGGTGCGTCGGCCCGGGCCCGGGGGTTCGGGCTCGTGGTGGTCCTGAGATGTCTGCTCTTCTTGCGGACCTGAACTTGTCACGCTGACGGGACAGGAAGCGCTGCACTCTTTTCTACACTGTCAATCTGGGGTAACAAGCATCTGTGCGACTCGGGTCACACAGAAAAGTGGACTGTGAGACTTGAGGGAACTCAGGACTCAATTTGCTATCTCAGAGACCGCTATAGGAAAATTATTTTCTTGGGAACTTTAAGTACTTGATTAGAAACAACCTAGAGAAAAAGACCAACTCTAACTCAAACCGTTTCTGAGTTATGGTAGATTGCAACATTTTTTAGACACTGACCCCAAAATTTCCTTGCGCTCCAAATTTTGTGCCGTAGAGTTGAGTACTGATATTTCTTATCAGAAAGGTTTAAAGTACAACTTTTATTGAACGCGTTTTTAAATTTAAACATTTTTCTTTGTTTGAAATATTGGTCCATTTTGATGACCCAAAATTCTAATTCTGAACCCTGTTTTGGTCAATGAAAATCATTATTTCTTCCTGTAGTTGAAGTATTCTACTGTTCAATAAATATTGTTCCTCTTGCTTTTAATTTGAGAGAACTGGTCCAACCCTGTATCTCAAAGAACAAAGCGCAAGGAACTTTTTTGGCTCAGAAAAGTTTACATTAACTTTCCCAATTCTTTTCTACGTTTGGTTTTAGTTGGTAGGTGGTCATATTGTACTCTAAGTGAGTATTGATGTTGGAATGTTTAGAATTCAGTACCCTTTTAAATTTATAGCCTGACATAAATTTTTTATTAGATCAACTTTCGGTGATTTTCTCAAATTTCTGCAATTTTGTTTAGTCCTGGGCCCCCTTAAGTCACACAGTTGCCGGACACCCCAGATTTACAGTGTAACCCTGCCCCTCCCCATTTGAGCCCTTTGTAATCTGCTAATCGTACTCACGAGTTCTGATCATTTATATCTGTATTTTAGGCCCCAATATCTAGTTTGAACCTGGGCATTACTACTAGATAGCCACAATTTCCCTTTGCCGTCGATTTCGTTCTCGAAATATGTCAATTTCAAATAGATGTTAACTTTAGTGAGTGAAATCAACATTTGGCATCTCCGAGGAATGGAAGTATCATAAATACAGCTAATTTTTCAAATACGAATGTTTCAACTATCAGTATTTTCATGAATGGCCATGGTTTTTTGTAGTTTTCAGTTCCTCACTATAATAGAAATTTCTGTGTTACTGTTTATATTAATCTAGTTTTATATCCTCCTAGCAGGTATTCAATGTCACAATCAAAGATCGTTTTGATGCCTCGAAGATATAAGGAGAGATTCCGAGCAAATGGATATTCCCAGTATGCATCTGTTTTGTTGATGCTGCTAGCTGCTTGTCTCCATCAGGTTTTCTCAAGCGAAAAGCAATGTCTAAAAGTAAGTTCTGCATCAATTGACTTCTTGGGACATGCATATTTAAATATTCCTACAAGGTTTTCTTCTTCCATACCAGATTTCTGGCAGCACATCCAATACATCAGCTAAATGACAACTGCAGAAAATACAAAAATCAATTGCTGTGGCTGCTGTACATTAAGAGTGATGAATATATGAAGAGTTCTGAATGCATAACTGACATGTTATGTGCTGAAAACTAATTTCTAACTACGTGATCCAGGAGCATTCATAATTTCAAATGGACTCAGAACTTGGGTTTAATAGCTCTGCTTGCCCTACGACTTCAACTTCACATTTTTATTATCTCTGATTAATGTATGTTTTTGTTTAAAAATACTGCCACAGGTGATGGGTGATGGAAATGTATTATTTTCGTATGTTGCAATAAATTTGCTTTTGTTGGTAATTAAAACACGAACACTACTCAGGAAGGACACAAGTAAGAGATTGTACTGAAATACTGAGTCACTGATCAATATTTTCACTTCACCTTAAAGTGTTTCACACACCCCCACATTTCTTCCCACAAATACGGAATCGGAAATTACATTTTTCCGGGTTGGCTTTCTACAAAAAGACAACTATAGTAGCCGTAACAAAAGGCAAACGTTTTTAATAAATATATTGTCAATTCAGAAAATGAGGCTAATTAACCGCATCATTTTGTCTGTAAAGTAAAGTGGGGACGAAAAGAACCAATCCTGATGCAGATTTCCAAATCTCAGCTTTCAAATAACGCTTATTTCTGTCTACACTCTTGCTTTGCTGGCGTCTCCTTCGTAATCTGTTTCCGTTGTTTGTTTCCCACTTGCGTTCAACGGGCATGACCCGAAATATTCCATTTTGACATTGATTGGAAGTGGTTCCAGAAAAAAAATTACCTGTGAGGAAATGGACAAACTTAGCCAAAAATGTGCGGTACTGGTTCCGCGCACTTTTCTGGCCCAGTTTGGCAACATTTCGCCATTGCTCCCTTGAATGACCAACAATTACAAAGTGCTCTTTTCAATCGAACTTGGTTCTTTCAGCCTGCTATTACTGGCTTGAAGCCAAGTTAACCTTTCTCCTTGGGTAGGTCAGGGTCAGGTCTGTTAGATTGACAGCAACCGGTTTCAAAAAGTGTTTGGACCTGGAACATGTGTCTATCAGATGGTATCGCATTGTATAATACTTTTTAGTATATCTTGAACTCAGCCAATTATGCAAACTGTCGACTTATTAGATTTTAAAGCTTTTTTCGACATTTTCTCTAACCAGACTAGGAGAAAGATTGGCGCGGCTTTCCTAAATGACTGTTTTATATTCCATCACATGCTCGATCCGAGAAGTTTTGAAAAATCAATAAATTTCATTATTACCTATGTTTGTGTCTTTTACCGTACCTACCCCACTCCGTTACATGTATTGCATTCGGTGTTTTAAATAACATACTTCGAATCGATTTACTGTTGTGTGCTATTTGTATTCAATTAAAAAGTTTCTCAATATTACTAGCCTACATCATTTCTTGACGTTTTCTATTGCCCTTGGACGAGTTATCTTCTCGTACATCATATTTTATTGCTAGTCTCGATTTTCAAGCCTATTACAAAGTAGCTCTCTTGAGCCTAAACACATTTTGCTTTTAGTTCCGGGCGTCTCAAATTTAACCTGTAAACATTCGATCAATCTTCTAGACCTCTCTCTACCTTCAAATATGGGAACACCAATATCCTGCCTCGCACATTTATATCCACAATCAAGCTTTGCTGTGTTTTATTTCGGTGCTATGTGGCAGCCGACTCAAATTTCAAATTTATTTTCGCTGGAAGAAAATATGAGAAATTCGCCGTCATACTCGGGGCTTCCCCGACTCTTGCCGCCTTTCCACCTTTGCACCGATGTGTACGGGTTCCGCTTGATTTCCTCTGACGGCACACTAGCGCCATCTATCGGTACGATCAGTTCCCCACGATGAGTTCCCCACGACCAGTTTCACTCACGAACAGTTCACGTACACCCCGGCCTTCCCTCTCAGCCGCGCGTCAGCTCCCCCTCCCCCTATTTTCCCACCGCACATCCTCGGCTACGCCTCCCGACATTTTCATACTACT